AAGTTAGTGCAAAGCTTGGCCATAAGCACAGACATTTTACAAGCTTGCAGCAAATCTGTTGCTAGCCGTACATTTCTGGAAAAAGAAGATTTGCTGAAACCATTTTGTGTGAAGATTTAGTTTTTACCTACTGTCAGCGTAGTATTTTCTTTCAGGCGCAGTTCTGATAAGCAATATGTATCAGCAGGTAACTTGTGCATTAAATCTTTGTGCTAGAAATAGTTGTCCTCTAGCATGTACTGTCCAAGTACTGCATGATGCCATTTCTGCTGGCAGGTGACTCCTATAAAATTTCAGTTCTGATGAATATGGCTATTGTAGCTGGATTTTCTCATCTGCCAGCTGTTTGCATTCATACAGAAAGGCTATTTTGTCTTATTAGCTGTCACTTTAATTTGGCAAGAACTATTATGGGGGGTCTGCAACTGTGATGCTAATACAGGGGCTGGATAACATTGTAGATTCTGCCCCGTTACACAACAAGCGCATGCACTTGACACGGAAGGTTACAGTGGTCTTGTTCATACTTCGATATTAAAATGTATTAGAAGAGACAGAAGCCTATGCATCTCAAGTGATATTTCTGCAGTTCTGTAAAGTAGCGTGTATTTTTTGTAGCTTGTCCTGCATTTGTATAAAATATGCTGTTGCGTATTTTCTGACACTTCATCATGACTTAGATTTTTTTCAGAGCAAGCCAGGTAACAATTGCATTGGGTATCATGTGGTTCTAACAGGATAAATGGCATTCACTGATGGAATAATTGATTAATATAAATAAATTATTTTCCCTTAGAAACATATGTGCTCTGCTGAGTTGTGTGAACATATGTGGAAGTGTTCAAAAGCCTTAGTGAAACTTAGGATGAATATCGAAGGGCACTCAAGTTTATCTTTCGAAAGCTTGTGAAGTTAAAATAGGTAAAAGTTATAGTAGCCTGTTAAATACAGCAGAGTATTCAAAGAATATGAAGCAATGGGTATTAATACCTTGTTAATTAACTCTTTAGTAGTATTTGGCTCAGTGTTCAGCTGTAACACATCTTGAGCATAAGGTGACATTCCGTTTTCTGCTTTGTTAGAGGAACTACTGAAAATGAATTACTTTAGGATAAACTTCCAAAACCCAGGTTTCAGGAACATGATCCATTCATCACTACTGTTAGTTCAGCTTGGCTTCAGGCTGTGAATACATGAAACTGGGGTTGCTGAAGATTGTGTAAATGTCCTGACCGATGTCGCCTGAGATATCAGGGAGTGCATGGATATAGTATCGTAACCATTTAGCTTCCAGTCTGAAGTTGGCATTAAACTGTAAATCATGAAACATCATTTGCAAATTTTATTTTGGTAATCTGTTAAATCAGCGGGATTTTCTTATGGTGTACTTTATAAAATACCAGCAGAGTTGATTTACGAGAGAAGAGCATGCAAAGCAGTTTCAAATTAGATCATAATGAAAGTAGGACAAGGCAAAGGAATCTGTTTTTTGTTCCCTTTAGTACATGTCATTTTACTGCACGCTGATCTTCTGCTTGGATCCCGCTGCCTCTGCCCGGTGCCATTGAGGTGTCTGTGCCGCGCTCCCGGGACCCCGGGTTGCGTGGGGGCCTGAAGCCGGCCCTGCATGGGGCCGGGGCGAGCCTGGCACAGCTCGCTCGCTTGGGCTTTGGGCCTCACTTCTTATGTGTTCCTGTCTCATCCGTTTCTTAGCTGATACGGCTGTAGCTTTTCAGTGTCCCCTTAAAGTCAGTGCGAGGAGGAGCTTCCATCTAGCTGCTTGGCAGCGCTTGCAGTTGAGTGCTGGCAGTGGTTTTGAAGTCCTGCTGATGTCCTGTTATCCCAACTGGAAACTGCTTCCTTTTGATGCGCTGTAGCAGGGCTTTTTACCGCATCTTAGCGGGTGATTTGCTTACGGCAGTGAAGGTGGGAGCAGAGAACAAACAGGCAGCGAGCTTGAGTGGTTCAGAAATTTTCCCCAAATTGCAGGGAGCAGGAAAATGCAAGGCTGTAGTGTTTGGTGGGGTCTAAAAATAGTTGTCATTGACTCCACCCCTCTATGACTTTCTTCCAGGAACACGTTGAGCTAATGAATGTGGAGTATGTTTAATACATGTGCGGTCTATTTCCTACCATCTTTGAAATTCTCCCAGTGCCCTTAAGAGTTTTAGATTTGTCTTATTTTCATCCAGTTTTCTGCAATAAACCTTTAATTTTAATGTGAGCTGATTTAGTGTGGGATGAAATTCTGTTTCAGATAAATAAAAATAATTTGACTTCTATAGGTACATCTTCCAGCACTCAAAACAGTTGCATTTAATAATTAAAAAGTCAATAATCTCGCAAGTGTATTGAAGAAGTCGTTTTCCTTTCTTACAGGACTTTGTTGTGGTTATGCATTTTTCCTGAACCTTGATAATTGCCTTAAAAGCGTCGCTTGAACATTGCCACATAACTGATTTTAGAACAAGCAATATTTGTCATGCTTAAAATGACTAACCAGTATTAGCATTTAACAGCTTTTCTGTGTGATATGTAAGCTGTTTTACTAGTTAGGTGGCAATGATATCAGTAAGCTGGTAAGTTTTACGTAAAGGTATACAGAACTAGGAGCTTCCCATCCACCAAAAAGGTGGATGCCTGCGAGGGAGCAACGGTATTCATACGGGTCAGAAGGGGATAATTAGCACCTTCTGTGATACATATTTTACCAGTCAGTGCATTTCTTGAAGTTTGAAGGCTTTAGACAGAAGAAGGAAGCCCCTTCAGGAAAAAGGATCTGCAGTATGCTCTGAGGAGATTTAAACAAGAAGCTCTGTTTGTAAACTGCTGTAAGAGCCTATCTGATGGTGTAGTTTCTGCCTCTGATGAAACATTTCTACATTTCTCTCTGCTGCTAGACAACCAGTTTTGTGTTCTCCAGATGTCAGGTCTTTCTTCTTTAACATCTCAGTAGCCGTGCTTTCATGGAGAAACAGTGCAGGTTTCTTTTATGCAGGGTCTTGATCTTTGGTGGGGCACTGATGTTGATCGTCTGCACTAATCAAATTGGTTTTGGCTTTACAGTCTGCTGTTGCTAGTGCATTTGCAACTTGCTTCTTATGTGTTTTGTTAAATATTTGACACATACACAAGTGGCAATAATTGAAATTTAACATGTACATTTTCCAAAACATAACCTAAAATACAATGTTAAAACAAGATAGTCGTTTAAAATGTACTTTTTAAGGATACATTGTGAGTTTTCATGGTCTCTGACATTTGACACTTGCCTTTCGTTGTCTCAATAGAGTAATCTTAACGGAGTTTCTTTTATGAGCCTAAATTTTGCATTTTAATATGCATTTATTAGTCTTAAATTTTGCATCTTAAGAAAAGTATGAGATATATTCCCCAAGCATTTTGCATATAAAAGTAATGGTATGGATATCTTAATTCAGTAATTTTTCTGGTAAGCTCATGACAACTTAACTTTTAGAGAATACACTGTATTGCCAATACAGAGGTCACAGATTTACTGAGGTTAACAAGACCTTTCCTTCTTGACTCTTATTCCCGTGTAGTAAGAAATTTGATTGATCGAGCATAGCATGTTGAGGCAAGGCGACAACTTCCTCTCTGTGTGAGCTCAAGGAATGATATTTATATTACTGTGGGACTCCAGAAGAGATAATTCTGCTGAGAACAGTCACTTAGATGTTACAGTTTTGCTCTGCTGTGTAAATAGGTTTGTGTTTATACTGCAGAGCCTGGCCCTATTAGTTGTGAAACAAATATGAGATATGAAACAATATTTCTGAGAAGATTTAAATCCACAAGTGTCACTAGTATCTATACAGACTCCTGAAATGGGTAGAAAAAATGAGATTCGTTGAGAAGGAAAAAAAAGCTAAGCAGATTTTCTTCAGTGTGAATCTGGGTATTCCGGGCAGAGAGTTAGCTGTGCTGGTACTGTAGAAGACTCGTATCAAAGGGAACCTTAATGCAGCTATGCTCTCTCTTAGCTGGGTTTGAGTCACGAAGTCCAGAAGAGATTGATCTTCGTTTTGGGAAAGCAGTTCAGCTGTGCAGCTGCTGAAGAGGATTGAACTGAGCTGTCAGTCACTGACCTGGGTACCTGCACTCTGAACTGGCTGTCACGAGGATGTAACACCATACCTTTCTGCTGCGTTTTTATCCGGTGCAAGGCGGTGGGTTGTCAGGTCCACATAACTGATTCCTTCAGCCTAGGTTAGGAACGTTGTGACCCACCATAAGGTAATAAATACAGCATGAAGCCAAAAAGGTTGAGGACATAGCTGAGACCAACTGTGCCTTTATTCTTCCTGGGTCATGTGACTAAAGGGAAAAGAACACATTCAGTATAAATGCAGCATTATTCTCAAAAGTGGTCGTTTAATTTTATACAACAAACTAAATTGTGTTGCTTCTCCTCTTTCTCCCTGCCTTCAAATATAACAATTTGGTTTAGCCTTATCACATCAAGACTAGTTGATGAGGACGAGAACCAGCTGGAGTATTTGCAGTTATTTTAAACTGCAGAGATTTGCTCACTGCTGTCCCTAGAGGCCTAAAATGTCATTTCTTTGCCTCTTAAAATCCTGTTAGTCTTACTTTCTCCATCATTATGAGGGTGATCAAGTTTCTGTTCCTCTCATAAGTCACAAGCTGTCCTGATTTTTTTTTCATTTTCAGCCCAGTCATTTCTTATGTAAAAACAAATCTTGCTGCCTCTAGTTTGAGTATGAATGGATTTAGCAAGCAGGTTTTGACCTATATAAGTAAAGTCAAATATTACCAAAGCGTTGCTTTCACATACATTTCAAAGGTGAAAAGGAGTATCAGGACTGACTAAATAAGGTGGATTTTGCATTTGCAGACTGCCTGAAGCAAGAAATGCCCATCTAATGGATATTATGATGCATTTCATATGATAACACTATTACTAAATAAGTCTTGTAATTTTCTTCTTGTTGGTCTGTTATTAGGATCCATACTACAGATTTAATGATGTGATGTACAGGTGGATCTCACTGGATAACTGGACTTACAGCAGGACTTTCAAAACTCATTTTGATGTCAGGTATGCAGTAAAGATATGTCTAAAATAGTTCTGTGCCATCTTTCATGTAGAATTGCTGGTTAATCCATTAGCTCAAAATATGCTTAATACTTTTGTATTTTTTATTATTTATTTGTATTAATAAAATTGTGCAATAATGTGCAGCTGCAAAGTTGTTGCTAAAGAACACTTCAGTAGTTGCTTTTTCCTGTTTTTTTTTTAAATTCTTAAAAATTACTTATGAATTACCAGCTAAGGGAGAACAATACTTAGGGTAATTGGAAGCTAGCACATCTGATATCTGGTGGGTATGTGAACATGCTGTGTTGCAGACTTGAGCCACTTCAGCTGTCATGTTAATTTAACTATTTAAAGATATAATGTAGCCACACTAAGTCAAACATTTTTGGAGGTAGTTGAGACAACTGCTGCTAAAGATATGACATACATTTTTGTGTTGTCTGTCTCCTGTGTGTAGGTATTCTAACAGTTTTTTATGCATATGTTATTTTCTGTAGAAAGTGGCAGAAAGTGAATTTGGTTTTCGAGGGAGTGGATACAGTAGCACAGATCCTGATCAACAATATCACCCTCGGGAGAACAGACAACATGTTCAACAGATATGTAAGTAATGTGTTTATTTCTGAGGGTGCTTCTGTTTTTTCTTCAAAGCCCTTTTGTGCTGAGCACTTTCAGTGCATTCAAGTACACATAAAAATAGGTCTTTGGGTGCAGAAAGTATTGGACCTGCGGACTGCATGTGTAATCAGATAACTGTTAGAAAGAGAAGTGTATTTACCTTTTCAGTAGCAGCAGGGTCAGATTTGGAGGTGAACGTGTCTCGTTTTAAATAAGTGGACCCATGCAAGAGGATCAATTCAGCTAATAGTGTAAGTCTTGCTTCTTGGGATCTGTCACAGCTCCAAGAAAACATAAGCCTTAATCTGTTGTATTAGCTGTAAATCTGCTTACTAATTGACATTTGAATGGTTTACCTGTGAATACAGAAAAGAAAATGCACATGTTGCAAAGCCTTTGTAAGTGTTCCATGCCTTTTTTTTTTTATATATAGGGTTTTTGATTGTTAGTATTAGGCTTTTGATAACTTGTCTTGCGTTTTTGGGCCTAGCCAATGTCAGGATGAGAGTACTCATCATGGAGAGACCTTGAGAGCTGCAAAAACATTCAATCGAATTTTATAGCTTTAAAATACAAAATTAATCTGGATACTAGCATAAGGGACAATCCTTACTTTTCTCTTAAAAGAATCAAAAGAAGAAAAGTTAAAGGAAGAACATTAGTGGAAAAACTGAATTACAAAGGAACTCTGGTGTCTTCATATCTCAATGTTTATGATTCTGACGGGTTTTATTGCAAAGGTACTGGCCTGAGACATGAGAGCTAGATTCTGCTGCCTGGGTCTGTGTGACCTGGGACAAATCACTTAGTTTCTCTGTGACTTAGTTTTACCATCTGTAAAACAAGAAATTTCATAGAGCTTTTATGTAATTGTAATTATTTACTATTTGGAGAGTATCTAAAGGATTGCCAGTAACAGGCTCTGTAGAATTGGGAAGTGATATTATTTTTCCCTTATTTCTGCAACTTCATTCTGTCCCAGATTGTAACAGTTCATGAAATGGCCTTCACTGTAAAACCAGTCTGAACTGTATTAGATTGAGTCTAGGATTACTGCGAACCAGACTTCTTGCTTTGTTCACCTGTTCCCACATGACGACTATGTCTGCAGGAAGGACTCGAAAGCTCTTTATGGGGGATGCTATTTGCTTTGTAATTTTCTGCTGTATGCTGCAGACGTAAGTGATGCTAGCTGGGCTGCTCACAAGTTGGAAAAAATTGCCAGGACTTGGCTTGTCACAAATGAACACTGTGAAGAAGAGGTGAGTGTTAGCCATTGGAACCATATTATCTTGATAGCACAGGAGAATTCTGAAACGGAACATTTGTCCTCCTGTCCAGCCATACTGAAGAGGATTTTGTAAGCCAGAGAGGAAGTCCCCAAGTGCTTTATTTAGTGCTGGCATCGAATATTATCTGTACGTTTGGGGGATGAGAGGGCAGGTGGCTTGAAATACAGCTTTGCAGCATTCACACAAAAGGCAGCCCAGTGGTTTGTGGTAGGTAAGCTGGCAGCACAGTGGGAGTTGGAAGGACTCCTGCACAGACCAGCTTTCTGAGTTGGAACAAGGTGTCTTTCGAAAGATGCAGATGAGTTCTGAGTGAGGAAGGTGGGTAAAGATGCTCTTGCCGTCCTTATCCTTCAAGCACTTCTGCATGCAAGCAGAGTACTGCAGCCTGCAATGGGGGCTCAGTATGGGGAAAGTGGTTAGCCCAGAAACATCTCCTTGTATCTGGAATGTTACTGTGTATTTTTCTCAGCTTAAGAAGTAGCTTTACTTTTCCTTCAAAACCAGAGCCTGTTGGGACTGTAGTTCAAATGCCTTGGAGTAATATATGTATGGTATTAAAATCCCAGTGTAACACTGATTATAAATCTCATAAATAAATGTCAGCGTTGTGATGATTCTGTTCTGTTTTCTTGACCTAGAGCTTTGATATTACCAGCATGATCAAGGAGGTCAATTTTGTTGAAGTCCGTTTCTTGTCAGCCGTTTCATATGCAGCAGAGCAGAGCAGATGTCACAAAGCATACCGCATCCCCCCGGCGTGCCCTCCACCTGTGCAGAAAGGAGAGTGCCATGCTAATTTCATCAGAAAGGTAGGGGCAGAATTGTCTATCTCTGGCTTCAGGCTTGGAAAGAGAAATGCACCACGTGCTGTCCTTACAGATGTATTCTGAAACCTGCAATGTCATCTGATAAGTAGGGCATATTTTTCATTGCAGCTTCCTCCTCCTGTCCCCCTCAAAACCTGTAATCTAGCATGTTGATACTACAAGAGGCATAAGAGGGCCAGGCTTCATATCTAGGTGATAAGAATGTTTGAAGTGCTGTTTGCATCAAGGAATCAGCAAGGAGACTTGCTGCTAAGAGAGCAGGATAGCACTGGGAAATGTGTAATCATTAGGTTTTGATCCACTGGGTGGGTTTAGCAACAGTATGCTGACAATAGAGTTCACTGTTGCAAATGCCAGTGTATATTGCCAAGGCTGTAAAAATCTCAGCCAAACAGCTTTGTGAGTGTTTTCTGTTGCTCATGTGCTATGCTATTTATATTGGGCAGCTCTGGCATGTCCCAAGAAGTGTTATCTTAGAGGACCTTTTCTCATCTTATGATGGTATTTTGAAGTGTGACTTACAAGTATGCATTCAGTGAAAACAACAATGTAATATACAATGAACGAAGCTCAGAAACTCTGATTTAAGACATGGCTTCGCTGCTGTTAAAACTTACTCCAGGCAAACTATCATTTGAGTAGCATCTCATATATTTCTGATAGCTTTGCAGCAGCTAGAGACAATGGCTAGCTATTCTTATTTTGGAATTTCCCTTTTGGGGCATTTTTGCATGTTTGTCTCCACTTAAATGCATTTCTTATTAATAACTTTTAATCTTTTCAATAAAGTCCATTTAGAGCCTCCTCAAAAAAATGGCTGATAATCTAAACCTAGATGTGATTTCCTTTAAAATTTGTTAATGGAAAGATGGACCCTGCATTGTCCTGGGAAGATCCTTCAGGATTAAGATATTGTCTTTATTATGACTTGCTGCTACTTTTATTTTCACTACATTTTCGAAAGTTGGTCAGTTCTTCTGAGTCCACTGTGTTTCTTAGAAATCAGTGCAGGGAGGAGCTTGGAAGGAAGAAGGCCCTTAAACAGCTGTAGATTTATTTATAGAACAAAAATGGCCAGGAATGATTCTGTGCTTTACTGAACTATACCTTTAAATTTGCAAGAAAGTACCTTAGTGCTTTTCCTCAAAGGAGTTTGCCTGTACTTGGAAGCTGCTCCAGACATTTTCAGAAACATTTTTAGTTCCAAGTATATGGCAACAACAGCAGCAATGTCAGCGATGTCACATTTAAGAGCAAACAGACGTACTAGGACATTGCTAAAGTAAGCTGGCTCCTTACCATCTTAAAGTAACAGAGAGCTGTTTACATGTTTGAGGTTCAGGATTAAGTGCAGTAAACGTATCTAAATCTTAATAGGAATCTCTGGCAAAACACAAGCCTTTCACTGGTAATGTGATACAAGCATATTGTTATTAGGACATACTATTTCTAATAGCGGTCTCTGCGATGTTAGTGAAACCTGATTGTGAAATCTGTCAGTGATTCATTTGTTTATTTTTTATAAAGGGAAAATTACTTTCAATCTACTTGTTTTCTAAGAATGTGTTGTCCCCGTTTTTACACTTGAAATAGGTACTGTGCTCGCTTCCTGGAAGGCTCTTTTGCAACTTGATAGGCAGGCTGACTCCAGCGATGCAAGGGATAGGCCAGACTTGTGCAGTGTGGTTTGCCAAAATTAGTATGCCTCGGCTGTAAGTTATTAGTCTCTAAATTTAGAACTGTAGGTCACTGTACAAGACTTTAAGGAGATCTATTGTATTTGCTTTGGGGGCTGGGGCTGTGTGAAGCTTGGAGGGCAGCTGAGTAGATGTCTTCACGGAATTTGTTAACTAGAGGTCTGACCAGGTTTGAAAATAGCTAAATGGAAAGCAATGTAGGTACTTCTCTGCCTGACGAGCATTTTATAATTCTGACAGTTATTCTGATGTTAGAACCAGAACTAAGCTATTTCTCAACCATGGTTTTGTTCCCTTTGTTTTTGTATGAGAACCATAAAAAGGGGAGGAACAGTGAACATGACTGAACTACACAAATGCACCAGACATAAGCATCTCTTTCCTTGTACTAATCTGTGGAGTTACAACAAAAAATAGGGGATAAAATATTTCAGATATACCCACAGTTTGTAATTTGTTATTGTTCTTGTAGAATACTTTAACATTTGTAACCATCAGTTTTCTGCTTACTTTGTCTTTTAGGTATACAATTAAATACTGACATTACAAACTAAGATAATTCAGAGCTGGATTGAGAGTAACCTGCTGGCTTGTTTTTTTGATCTTTACTGTTTTTTTTTAAGTGGTGGGTTAGGTGGTGTTTTGCTCTCTCACTAATATAAAATTTTGCTATACATAGATCTGTAATACAAAATTGTATTTTTGAATATAATACAGGTAGTAGCAGCAGAGTTCCAGTCAAGAAATAAGAGAAAAAATACTGTAGGCTCTTCTGGGTTTATGGAAATTGGAAAAATTATTTCAGTACAGGGCAATATTTTATTTCTATATAACACATGATTTTTATTTCTGGCACAGCATCAACGTCTGTGTGAAAAACAGGCAATTGTAACATAATCATTCTGTATTCCAGGAGCAGTGTTCGTTTAGTTGGGACTGGGGCCCTTCTTTTCCCACTCAAGGAATCTGGAAAGATGTTAGGATTGAGGCCTATAACCATTATCATCTGATTTACTTTTCTGTGACTTCTTTCTTTGGTAAGTTGTGTTACTACTTTTTATTGTTGTTTTGCCTTTGGAATACAAACTATTGTTAAGCTCAGTTAACTATCAGTTTAGGAAAGGTTCTGTTGTTGTTATGACTTTGTGTCTAGTTCTTACCACAGCACACACTTTTAGGTCTTGAAAACAGTACGTCAGTGCAAACAACAGTGATTAAAAATGTTAGAATTGCGAATCTGTTTTTGCTTGAAGTTTCACAAATAACTGCAGAAATATATGTAGTGTAGCTGAGGTTAGGTCCCGTTCTCCTGTTTTTAGAAATTTCTTTTTTATTGGCATGTGTTTTCACTGAGACTCCCAATAAATATGTCTCACTTTTGTCTCACCTCCATTTAAAACAAAGGCAAAGCAGCTACAGGAATTTGGTTTTGTGTTGGGAAGACAAATGCACAGTGAGCAGAGTTCCAAGAGCGCTGAGTTTTCAGGACACAACATAAAGTCTGAGACAGACAAGCAGTCGTGCTATGCAAGAACTTGCCGTGGTCTTTGATTTTCCTCTCGTTTGTCCTGAAGATCATTGCAGCTGAGCAAAAGTAGTTAATTTTCTCGTGAAACTTTCTGTGAAAGGTAATATGCCCCATTGTAGACCACCTGCATGGTTTCTTTCACTGCCTGTTGAGCCCAGTCTTCAGTGGAGTAAAGGCTAGCACATTAGTCCTGTGCACTGGGTTGAATTTCAGCCCTTGGGAATAGAGTTGTTGTATATGAATAAAAGAGGAAGACGTTACTCCCTGGCTGCTTTTAAAGCTTCCTGAAATAGCTGCAGGTCTTAGCTAGAATTAACGTGACTGGAATTTCCATGGAAAGCCCCAGCACAGACTCTGTGCTCCCTAAAATTTAGTTACAGTAAAAATGTTTTCTGGTCCCACAACATTCCCACAACTCCACCTTCTGGCGGGTAAAGTCTTGCTCCAGATAAGCAGAAGAAGCAAACCTCTTTCATTCATCAGAGAGTGGTTTGGAAGCAGAGCCAGAGTTTATTAGTATTCAAACATAATAACATTTAAAAAATAAAGAGTAAATGAGCAACTTGAATTTAAGCTGCCTATGCAGTTATGTTGCTCATCAGATTTGGTGTCACAGCCTTTTGACCACTGAGTCTGTAAAAGATTCATTGTTCTTTATTTCTGTGCCTAGATGTCACAGTTCATGCAGTTAAGAGTGGGCTGGAATTTCCATATGCCTTTGGAGGGGAGGGAAAACACACTGCAATGGCTGACCCTTGTGGGGTGGGGTGGATGTTTAACCCCTTCAACATTTCTAAAAATTGATCTTCCTTGGGTCATGCTGCAGGTAATATAAATTTGGGAACACATTCATTGCTCTTCATTCTACAAAAGACAGTGAAAATCACACCAGGGCTGAATGTAATTCTTTGCTTTTGGAGGGACCTGTCTTTTTCTTCTGGAGGAAGGAGAGCTAGAATATATATGTGAAAAAAGAAAGTGATGAGTAGTTTGTATACAAAATGTGTCTTAGTTCTGGTTTTCCTTATTTTCTGTTTCATTTGCTTTTGCTTAGAAACTCATCTGTAATATCTGAAGTATAGGATTAGTCAGACTATGATAGTAGAAAGGTAATTTAATTGCTGAAGTTAATGGAATATTTACACATTAATCTTTAGTACCCTTGACCCTGGCTTTCGTTACTCAGTAGGTTCTGTAAAGGAGAGGACTGTCTGAGGTAACTGTAGAGAGATCTCAGGGAAGTCATTAACTTGTTTCCTCTGCTACACTTCAGTGGCAGAAGGGACATAAAGAGACAGCCCGTCAAGTCTAGACACAGTGGGCCCAATTCATCCCCAGTGTAACTCCATTCATTTTGTCCAGTGACTCTGGGATGAATTCAGCTCATTTTCTATTAATACTGTTTTTGTTTCATCAACAAAAGTGATTGTACTGCCTTGTGATTACGATCTTTCCCAAAGAGTACCATGTTCATATGAGTGCTGACTAAAAGCAAATATAATGTTAATGGGAGTTGGTGGGAAAAAATCCTTCCTGATGAAGTGACTGGTGGCATGGTCTCTGACTGTTGTACAGAACTCTGAAAAACTCCTGGATGGCTTTTGGATGAAAAATAGAGAGAGTTATAAAACATAGGTCATATTGCATAGTTCTCTTCTAAGCCAGCAAATGCAAACACGGATGTCAAATGTGCTAAACAAGAAGATTAACCTTGTAGGTCTGGTTCAAACACAGCCTGAAAATTGTGAAGTTTAATCTGAGGTGTTCTAATTGTTTCTTTGATGAGAGATTGTGTTAACTAATAGGTATATAAACACAATTTCTAAATTCCCGTTTTTTCTTCCCTTTCACTTAGTAAAGAGTGCTCAGCAGTGGAGTCTTGAAATCGAGTCTATTTTTGATGTAGTCAGCTCCAAGCCCATTGCAGGTCTTGTGACTGTGAACATTCCCAAATTGCAAACACAGCAAACATTCAGTGTGAAGCTTCAACCTGGAGAAGGCAGCATTGTGCTGCTTGTAAACATCAACAAGGTAAGGAGGTGTGTGTGGAACCCTAGCCAACTGCAAAATGTTTCCTCTGGTTTCCAATGTGCCTTTCTGTCTCCATGCCAGTTTTAGGTCTCCCCACCTCCTTACTGTGTTCCTGACTGTAAGAACAGTTCCGTACCCCTTACAGGATAGACCAGTTGTTTTCCTCTCTAAAAACTGATGTCTGTGGGGCAATGTAGCTTAGTGTCAAAAAGATGATTAAGCCTTTCCCTTGCTGCAAAACAAAAAGATCACATCATCACCAGCCACTGTTAAATGAGCTATTTAGGTAGATAGCCTTTGGATACCCTATATCACTTCACTTAACTGGCAGTAGGTATCTTGTCACCCATGCTATTATTTACTGGGCTGATCAGGACTAGCATATACTGCAATGTGCATGGTTCTCCCAGGAAAAGAGAGGAAACATACCTCAAACCTCTCAGTAGATACTCTTTCAGGTAAATAAAAGCAAAAGAGCCCTATAAATAACTTGTCTGTCAGTAAGATTGGTGGAAATTTTGTGGAGTTGTGTTTCCTTACATTGGCTTGTATTCCCTTGGGTAGACAACACTCAGGAGGAATTTTAGAGAGGTAAAGGATGCTCTAGTGAGGAGAGAGCTCAACTGAAAAATTATCAATTGGTATACACCCCAGTGATGGAACAGCAAATAATTGGTCTGCTTACCATCAGAGGGTGTTGGGAAACTATCTGGTGGCAGATTTACTTCACCAACATTATTTAACTTCTATAGAATTTGTTTATTTGTTTGTTTTTTTCAGAAACTGATTTTTATCACACAGGTATAATTAAGAAAAGATAAATAGGCTTGAGAGATGAAGAAAATCGGTGTGTCTGTTCTAGTTGACGAATAGGTAGGTGTCTTGAGATCGGCAGTGAGTCCAGTGTGGCAAAAAGAAGCAAGAACTTTGTCTTGGCTTCTTGCTCGGAGAGCAGGGCCCCAGTAGAACTGACAGTGCAGAACTGAAGCTGACAGCAGCCGCCTAGGCGATGGGCAGGGTGGGAGCCCTGGCAGGCGCAGTGGCAGCCGATGGTGTTCTCCAGTAGAGCCAGCAGCATAACGGGAGCTGCCCTCTGCTTCACTGCCACAGGGCACAGTTAGATTTCCGGGCAAGCGATGTGCTGTGAGCAGGAATTTGGGGCTTCTGGCAGTTAATAACGTATGAGGGTCTGCCCTCAAACCTTTGTATGTTTTACGGGTTCTACTGATTTCTCTGTTGCTGTGTAACTCTGTATTTGTTTCCCTGGTTTGATTACAGTATGCGTATATTCTCAAGTTCTCTTGTCAGTTGTTTGAGTGGAGAAAAAGCATGTGTTAAAGGCAAGCTAGGTATTTATGTTCTAGTATGCACCTCAGTGACTTTCATACTTATGTGCTTTGTTGTATTTTGACACGAAAGTATAAAAGCATACAAACATATGATTTTTGTTACTGTTGTCATCTGATATGCAAGTTGCCTGAGCATTAACAAATGTCCAGTTTCACTTAAAACAATCATTAGTCTCTGCTTAGCCTTTTCAGGAATTACATTAAGCAGGCACTGCAATATGAAACTTCAAAAATGATTTTGATTTATTTAATTGCCCCACCCCCAACCTCAGAAGAAATCTGTTGGTGGAGTATGACTGCAAGTTTGTGAGGAAGCACTTCCTTCAGAGTAGAGTCAACAATGTTTTATTTTTCTTTGTACTCAAAAGGCTTTGCTGCGTGAATTCACAGCAGCTGATTTTATGAGAAGCCCTGCAATGTGTTCTCATGTATCGAAGAGCCTAATGGAGCACTTACTCTGTATGACAGACTTGTGTGGGGCATGTTAAATAGTGAGACCTCACCAGAAATTTATTTCTGGTTGAGAGTTTATTGCAGATTATGTTGCAAAGTCAGTAGGTGTTTCAGCGGTGCCTATCCCCCAAGATGTGCAGCAGTCTTCCTGCAATTGCCACACAAAGTGCTGTGTTGCTAACATGACAGCATTTTGCTTATCAGCTAATGGTGAGCGTGGGGATGACATCATTAGTGGCCAATGAGACACTCCAGCCGTGCCGGGCGGCTGCGAACACTCCCTTGTTGTTGAGGCACACGCTGATTTTGTGCTTCCGTTTGTGTCCGTGCAACACAGAGATTAGTAATTCTGCACAAGCAGTTATGAAAATTCTGTATCAGGGAAGCTGAAATGTTGGTAGATACGTTCATGGTTGTGTCCAAGTACGGCCACAGCAAAACATATTGTCAAGCTGCTCTCTGGCCTCATTTTATGTGAAAAGACCGAGGCATTCCTTACGTGAAGCTGTTCAGTGCTGATCCCTCCATTGTTTGGCTGCATGCGTGGCTTTCTTGCCACGATTTTTGTGTTGTGCACTCAACTGGCAAATGTTGGCAATAGGATTGAACAGCAGAAGTAGGCTGCTGGAATGAAGATATAAGTATTACTCTGTGACTAGAAAAATTAGAAAATTAAATCATTCTGTCATCCTAGAGGTAGTTTTTTTATGTTTGTAAAAATTATGGAGTACTAATGACGTGATTAGGAAGCATAGAGAAAAAGCAGAAAACACTGAAAACAAAGAATGAAACAAAATTTGACTTAAAAGCTTGACATAAGTGAAGTAGTCAGTATGGTCACATATTACCAAAGTCGTAACTGAAAAGTGTCACCTCTGTATATTGAATGTTGTATGTGGTAGGTGAAAAGGTCAGTGAGAGGGAAGGGTATGATACAGAGGCTAATGAACAATGTCTGCTCCTGACACAGATATTTGATTTTTGGAGGAATATTCTGTCAATGTACTTCAGCTGAGGGTAGCAGCCAGATGTGCACATGCGTGTGTACGCGTGCTTATGGCCTGTTGTGGACACAATAGATAAAGTGACAGCCTGGACTTCAGTGGAAGAAATCATACTTCTCTCTTTAAGTAATTTTCACCTCAGAGCTGCAGCTGGAGAGAACCCATTTACCATGGCTCAGCTATAGCACATAAACTAACTAGACTTGTGGTAATTTACTCAAAGGTCTCTGAGCCCCTAGGTGTGTGCTGTGCCTCTTTCTATACATACTGGTCTGACTTTGTCTTGTACGTTCAAGAGTTCTACAGTGGAGGCTTGGTGGCCAAATGGGCATGGAAAGCAAACTGGATACAACATGACAACAACTTTCGTCATGGAGACGGGATACCAGATTGAGAAATTTTCAAAGGTGAGCCCTTTAGTTTGATTACAGCTGGCATTGCACTGCTGCTGTTAGGACATCTGCTCTGTGTATTAGGTATCTAGAGCTCTGAAGTATTTTGCTGGATTGTAATATGCATGTGAAAATGCTAATGAGAAGCAAGAGTTTTTTTAATGTCATACATACATTACATAATAATGTTTTTAATCTATGTTTACCTGTTTTCTGGTAGCCTTAACTTGCCTTAAGTGTATGGGTGCCTTTACGTGCATTCAGACTTGGAAGATGGCTTACAGTTAGTTGGAAACCTCAGAAAGGAAAAGATGTTTACTACTTAAGTTTTCTATCTTATGAAAAAAAGCACTTTTAAACTTGATATATCATGCTGATGTTTTTATATCATGTACTGAAAACCCCTTTTAGATTTGTGTAGATTATGTGAAGGTTTATTAGTGAGATTTTTTTTTCTTATTAATTCAACTTTTAAAAAATTTGAGGGATAAACACATTCCTAAAAAGCTAACGTACACTCGACTATTAGAATGTGATAGATGCGCTTCAGGTTTAAAAAGAGGTACCATCTTAAATATGATAATAATATTCAGGGATATTTGCATAAGGATTCCTGCAACACACTGGCTGTATAATTATCTATTTGTTTTTACTAAGATGCATGGAAGAGGTAGTTTTCAATTGTCCATTAAAAAACCATCATACAAATTAGACTGGGCTCCTTATGCCATCAACATGTGGAAACAGCCAAGTAAATTTACACATTTATTAGGTGGTTCCGATGTGTATTGCTTCAATAAAAACAAATCTGGTCACCAGGCATCTAAAACAGCTATTTGCTGTGACATTTGTTCTTGTGAAAAATCCTGTGAAAAGCAGTAGCTTCAGGAGTCTTAGTCATTACAGAGCTAGTCCTTAGTTTTCTTATGAAGTCATAATAATAATTCTTCACCAGCATTAGCAATTGAATTTTGAAACAATTGAAAACCCACACCAAATAAACATGGCATATTATGCTTGGAAAACATGGTTGTGGGAAATATGGCTATAAAGCCTGTAAAAATGAAAATTGTGCTGTTACTGTGTGAAAACTGCACAATGACAGGAAAACTAATTGGTTCCACTTGGGTAGTTGCGTCAGGATGTTTCATAGAGCCCTGTGGCATATGATCATAGGGACTTCATGGTCTACAGAAGATATTAAGAAGCCTCTTTTTTTTTTTCTCCTTAAGGGGAAAGAGGAGAAGAAAAGCAAATGCACTACACAGTGGGCATTATAAAATTAACCAGCATATGAAGCCTTGACAGATTCATAGTATGAAGTCTAGTCTTCTGTCACGTGTTCTGTGAAGCTCTGTCTTGGAATCTGACAGATGCACATGCACCTCACCACCATCACCGCCTGCCCCGAGCTGTGCAAGTGGAAGAAGGCTCAATATGCAGTTTTTTCCATGTCCTAGCACAATTTGCTTCAGGAGACACAATCGGGGATACGTGTTCCTGAAAGTTGTTGTTCTGTTGTCAGTTCTGTTGTCTGTCTCGTGCTGTATCCAGGTGGAATACATTTCCTACCCCCATGCCTCTATTTAAAAAGAAAAAAATAGGAGTGAGACAATTCACAAGCAGTGTGTCCCTGTATGAGTATCTACGTAACTTTGGACAGGTGAAAACTTAAGGGTGAGAACTGTGTGTGTTAGAAGAGACAGCTTGGTCTTATGTTGGATTCAGTTACCCTTGGCCTGAACTACTTTCTGTTTTCGGACATGATAGAGTAGTCTCCAAAACTGATGCTTTGGGAAAATTTCTGGGTAGCCTCCCAGTATGTACTTGCGGGAGGTCTGTGGAGCACTAGCCAGCTGTGCTGGGAACCTCCTTGGCTCCTTGTACCTACTCACTCCTGTTGAGAGAGACGGAAACCCATAACAGAATAGTGCCAATGTCCAGGACAGGGCTGGTTTTGTTTTTCTATTTGAATTCTTTGGTTTAGAGTTTGTTTCTCAGGATAATGTGAAACAAAGTCATAGCTAGACATTATCTTGGAATGGAACTGGTTTTCTTGTGGGAGGGTCTGTCCAGTTCTGTTTGCTATTGATAAGTTGCTTTTTTTTTCTTGTCATGCCTACATCAAGGAATTTATTACCTCTTTCATTGCCTTATGAGGCATTTGTTTTCTTTTCAATTCTGTTTCCCCATCTATCTTATTTTTTCAATGCTGTCATCAGAGTTTTTTATTTCATGAGGCTGTTTTGGTACTTGGAAGATCTTAACCTCTAGCTGTCTTTCCCTCCTTCCATCTACCCCCTCTTTTCCCCCCAGACCTTTTAGCATGACTTCCAGAAGTCATCCCTTTTGGCTTTGTAGTTTTCACATTGCTTTCATGCTGCGTGCTAATTTGTTAGGTCACTGGGGCGTTCTGTGATCTTATTTCAGCTCTAGGCATCTTCATCTCTCTTGCTTTTCCTACTGGTAAATCTGGGAACGCCATATGTGATCCACGGGTCACTTGACTGGGTACAGAGCATTTGTATGCAACTTAAAAAGACCGGTGTCTGTTTCTTAATTTTGCTCATAACCAGCTGATAGGTCTGTGGTGGCTAGAGAGCCTCTTCTGTGTGCTCCAAGACTGGGAGAAATGTTCAGTCCTCACGTAGCAAGGTCTGTCAGAAAGATTTCAAGGTGGCCACGGTCTTGGTAGCCAGAAAGGCACATAACCAAGCATGCCAGGTGCTAGTTGTCTCCCCTTGCCCTTCTTTACCCCACAAGGCAGAAGGAAGCTGTTGTAGGAACAGGAAGAGGTGCTGTGTTACCAGGTGGGCCCCTGGGGAGCAATGGAGTGGGAACGCAAAGGCACCAAACCCTGGAGGCCTGAGAATATGAGATGGGGGCTGAGGAGCTTTTCCTCTTGCTACTGCTGTATGGGTGGTCCTGGCTGGGTGTTTCAGCCTCTCGGATTGCCTCGGATTTGGCCAGTTACATGAGTTCCACTTGAGCATGAATAAAGCAGTATCGTATTACTTCTGGTAGTAATATAAATACTCCATTACAAATGCACTCTGAGACAGTCCCAACCTGCCTGATGACATCCATTAAGAGGACCTCCCAAATACTTTGGGAACCCCAACTATAAATCCCATTCCATTTTGTGCCACAAAAAAGAGCTACACTGAAGACTGAGGAGTTTTTCTTCAAGTAATTGAATTCTCTGGAGGAAGGTCATAACTTTTTTGCTAGTGTAGTACTCGTAATGTAGTTTTTCTTTTGCAGCCTTCAGTAGTTAGGGTAACCGTGAAAATTGTATGAAATACTGTGTTGTTTTTTTTTTAATTCAGCTTCTCATGTTAAAATAAATCTGCAGAATTCTAGGAATGAGTGTAAGACGCTTGTCCTAAAGCTATGTTCATCATGCTGGTCTGTATTCAACCAACCTAGCGTGCAACAGGATTGCAGTAGAAAAGAGGCAGTGATTTTCTTTGTCTTCCCTACCACTAGAAATAATTTTCTATCTGTGTGATTTTTTTGATAAGCTTGAAAGTTTAAAAAACACAGTCCCACAGTGGGATTAGTCATTTCCCATTTGAACTTCAGCCTTGTCTGGTGTGTGAAATAAAGAATTGCATTTTATCTTAAAGACAGGTATATCACTTACTAGGTTAATTTTAGCCTGATTTACTGACCGATACCTGTCTCAGCTGTAGCTTGTGGCAGAGAGAGAACACGCTGTGCTGTACAAGCTGACCTTTTGCAAAGGTATAGCAAATAGTCATCTGAGGGAGGAGTGGTTGCTATCTTAGCCGTAGTCTAGAAAAAACAAGGTTCCAGCCCTCCTGACCCAAACTTACTGCTTGGTGTGAGTTGGCTGAAATTTGCTATTAGCTTTCCTTCACTTATTAAATTTCCCAATTATCTCCCTATGACAATAAGCAACAGGTACCAGAAAGAAAGAGTTTTCTTTCTGGCCTAGCTAAGTTGAACTAGAACAAGGATGCAGGAGACAAAGAAGTCTACAGCCTCCCTGAGAGATGTTTTCTGTAATGCTTCTCTGCTGTGCTCTGCATCTGCCTCATGGCAGGTGGGGAAGACACTGCTACAAATAAGGGCTAGGTGCAACGTGTTATTGCACTCAACTAACTGCTCTCTTGTGACTATGGAATTGACTGTGCTTATGTCTGTGCAATCAGGATATCCCTCAGAGAAGCGTTGTTGCTTTGGCTGAAATAAAGT